TATTTATTTATATATATATATATAAATTGGTCAAAAACAAAGAATCCAGAGAAAATTTAGAATTTCTCTGGAGAAAAATTCCGAAGGCCAGAGAAATTTGGTTAAAACATAGAGAATCCATAATTTCTCTGGAGAGAAATTTCTCTAGTAATAGAAATTTCTCAAACTGAGTACCTACCCTAACATAGGTGATTACTAGAATTCCCTCAATCACACACAGTTGAAATGTCAATTCAGTGCAGAGAACAATATGGTAATAGAAAGGTTGCTATGTGTTATGGTCATAGTGAGTATCTGTAACCACCCTCACTTTACTCTAGTCATGCTTGCATGTATTTACATGATCTTGTCTTGTTAAGTTGCATTTACAAACCTTGATTTGTTTCGCATAAGTGTTGCTTGCATCTTAAGCCTAGGTTACATCTTTGAACTTCTTACACCTAGGACCATCTTGGAACCACCTTGGTTGACCTCCACCCTCACCCTGACATGTTAGCCGAGATGTCATTATCTAGGCCGAGGTGTTCATCACTAAGGCCGAGATGTGTATTATCTAGGCCGAGATGTTATACCCAAGTGATCTTGTCCCTGGACTGGTACGACCTAGACCGAGGTGTGGCACATCTAGGCCGAGGTGTGGCACAGCTAGGCCAAGTGTTGTCCTTCCTAGCCAAGATCATTGAGACCTTACTTGCCGAAGCTTTGTCGTAGACGAGATCATTACCCGCCAAAGTGCCCATGTCACCTTACTTGTTGCTTACACTTTGTCATAGCCTTGTCTTTTCACTCAGTCACCTTTTTGAGGTGATCCAATCAGTCGTTGCCACGTGTCCCAGCAGAGGGTTAAGTCAACCGGCAAAGTTAGAAATATATCATTTTGTGTCTTATCTCTTGCATGGTAGAGAGAGAAGCTCTAGGAAGATGAGAGGAAGTTGGAGTAAGAGAGCTAGATCCCAAGCTTGATCTTTAGAGTTTGAGCCGTTAAATCCGTGTTTTGAGGCCTTAGATCCTTGCTTGTAATTCCTACACCCGAAGAACTATGTGAGTGGTATTTTTAATAAAGTTATGTTATAAGTTTTGATAAAGCTTTGCTTTGCTTTGTTTTGGAAAAAGTATTTGTTAAGCATGAATGAATACCCCTATTTTGTGTATCAAGTATTAGTCTTGTTTTGGATGACATTCTTGGAAAGTCCGTATGTGCTAGGGGACTCTAAACCTTTGTAGCACAAGTCCATACGTGCTAGGGGACTCTAAACCTTTGTAGCACAAGTCCTTACGTGCTAGAGGACTCTAAGCTTTTGTAGCACCTTTGTTTAATGTCATCCCTTGTATTATATTGATGCTAGTAAGCATCCCTTGAAGATTCGAAAGACTTGATTGATGGACTTGGTTCATCCCTTGATTTTGTATAGTATGCTATGTATTGTTTAGAAAAGAGATCTTGAATATCATTCATGCAAAACCTTTATTACTGGTATCATTCACTGAGTATTCAAGCTCACCCTCTCTTATATATATGTAGGTGATGAGCAGGAAGGCGGCAATGCCTAGATGATTATTTGCAACTTGTTTTGGATCCACATTTTTGTAGCATCTTGAAGATTATGCTTCTTGGCTTGTAGTTATTTCTTTTGTATATGTCGGCTTGAGAAGCCTTTTGATCAAGATGTATTTTGTACTTTATTTTATTGTATCCAAGTTGTAAGCTATATTAAGATGTATGTCATTTCATTTGATCTATGCACAGCTCTTGTGGACTATTTAGTTTTAAATTTATTACTTCCGCACATGTAAGCCCCATATGTATATTCTGATTGTCTGTGAACCCTTGCAAGTTGGCCTTTGGTAATCTCGAATTACTAGCCATCACGGCACCATTTTACTAGGGGCGGAATGGGGTCGTGACAGATTGGTATAAGAGCACGAGTTCCTTATAGTATGTTATTCACACACTTTGAGTCCTAAAGAGCTTAGGATTTTCCTTAGAATGATATTAGGATTTGCATCATATTGCTTGCTATTTGACAAGGTGTGCATCATCTCGGCATAACTATTTGTTATTTGCATACATGTTATTCGTTCATTGTGTTTTAAAGTCATATTTTGCATACTCCTAGCATCATGAGAAGGGGTAGACCTCCAGTTGGCCGAGATCATTCTGAGGACAGATTGGACAGATTGGAAAGGTTGGTCGAAGGTTTGGTCCGTGAGTTGAGACAACCTAGGCCACAGGACACTGGTACTACTTCTACTTAGGCCGAGCAGACAAACGGCCGACATGCAGCTCCGCCTCCACCTCCTCTAGTGCCGCAAGTGCCTCCACAGCAAGCCTTATATGGGGATGGCACCATAGCCTTGATCAGAGAGTTCCAAAAGATGAAATCGCCGAGGTTCCAAGGGGGTATAGAGCCAATGAAAGCCGAAGCGTGGGTCTTGGAAATAGAGAAGTTGTTGGATATTTTCCCCAGTACCGATGCCCAGAAGGTGTCATTGGCAGCATTCATGTTGGACGACGACGCATGAAGATGGTGGATGATGATTCGAGACGGTAACCCAGGTTTGACTTGGGCCAGATTTTTGGAGTTGTTCTACAACAAGCATTTCCTCCTTAGTGTCCGAGACCGCAAGACCACAGAGTTCCAAACTTTGACACAAGGCAACAAGACAGTGGTGGAATACGACCGTGCTTTTACCGAGTTGGCAAGATATGCGTCCTATATGGTCGATGACAAATATAGGAAGGCTAGGAAGTTCGAAAGTGGGTTACGTGGACTGATACAAGACTGAGTGAATATGCTCAACATGCCGACTTACACCGGAGTGTTAGACAAGGCCATCCTAGCAGAAGCTAACTTGAACCGATACCAGAGTTCAAGAGAGAACCAGAAGAAGAGACAGAATTACGATAATCGTCAAGGAGCATTTGATGCCAAGAAGAAGACGAACATAGGCAGTTCGAGCTACTCAAGACAGGAAGGTGGCACTAGGCCGACATGTTCAAGTTGCGGGAAGCCACATTCTAGATTTTGTTGTTGGGCATCTGGAGCTTGTTTTGAATGTGGTGAGGTAGGTCATCATGTGAAAAACTGTCCGAAGACAAACGTTAATGATGGTAAGAAAAATGGGAGTACTTCGGGCTCGGCACAGAACAACAACGTCGGCAAGGTGCAGATGAGGCAGGGTAGAGTTTTTGCATTAGTGCCAGGAGACACCCAGAGCGCTAAGACAATAGTGTCAGGTACCCTCCCAATTTGTTCTCAAGATGCATACATATTGATTGATTCGGGTTCTACGCATTCATTTGTATCTACTAAGTTTGCCGAAAAGTTGAATAAGGAATTAGAACCCCTTGATTACGTGTTATCTGTGTCTACTCCGTCTAGAAGAACTATGACTGTTGCATCCATTTATAGAGCATGTGTTGTTATGATTGAGAATGTTGAATTATTAGTTGATTTGATGCCGTTAGACATAACTCACTTTGATGTCATATTGGGAATGGATTGGTTAGTAGAAAATAATGCATCCATTAACTGTGTTTCCAAAAGTGTCATATTGAGACCCCCAAACAAAGCCAAGGTCACGTTTCGGGGTAAAGAAGTGGTATCCCCACCTTACTTGATCTCATCCATGAAGGCCTATAAGTTGATCAAAAAGGGGTGTCAAGGTTATCTGTGTAGTATACTAAGTAATTCAAATGGAAGCGTTGAGTTAGCCGACATCCCGATTGTTAGAGAGTTCCCCGACGTCTTTCCAAATGACTTGCCTGGCTGCTTAGTCAATAGGGAAATAGAATTTACTGTTGACGTTATGTCAGGAACCTAGCCTATCTCTAAAACACCCTATAGAATGGCCCCAGCCGAGCTTAAGGAGTTGAAAGTGCAATTACAAGAGTTGTTAGATAAGGGCTTTATTAGGCCGAGTACTTCACCTTGGGGAGCACCAGTTCTATTTGTGAAGAAAAAGGATGGTACACTTTGTCTTTGTATCGATTACCGAGAACTGAACAAGGTAACCATTAAGAACAAGTACCCATTGCCGAGGATCGATGATTTACTTGATCAAGTACAAGGAGCACGAGTCTTTTCAAAAATTGATCTCAGGTTGGGCTACCATCAACTCAAGGTTAAAGCCGAGGACGTTGAGAAGACAGCTTTTCGGACAAGGTGTGGCCACACAATTTTTTGGTTATGCCTTTTGGAGTAAGTAATGCTCCTGCAGCATTCATGGACTTGATGAACAGAGTCTTTAAGCCGTACCTAGACGAGTTCGTAGTTGTTTTCATCGACGATATATTGATCTATTCCGAGAGTGAAGCTAAGCATGAGAAACATCTGAGACTTGCCCTACAGATTCTGAGAGATAGAAGATTATATGCCAAGCTTAGCAAGTGTGAGTTTTGGCTTTCCAACATTTCGTTTTTGGGGCATGTGATTAATGAAGAAGGTATTTCAGTCGATCCTAGTAAGATTGAAGCCGTTGTGAATTGGCCGACACCGACCAATGTGTCCGAGATTCGTAGTTTTCTGGGTTTGGCCGGTTATTACAGAAAGTTTGTGAAGCACTTTTCAAAGATTGCAATACCTTTGACGCAACTAACTCAGAAAGGAGTGGCGTATGAATGGACCGAGGATAGGGAATCAGCCTTCTAGGAGCTAAAGACGAGGTTAGTCACAGCACCAATTCTTGTACTGCCGACAGGTAATGAGGAATTCCAGATTTATAGTGATGCTTCTTATAAGGGTTTGGGATGTGTGTTAATGCAAGGGGGTAAGGTTATAGCATATGCATCACGTCAATTGAAACCCTACGAAAAGAATTATCCTACCCATGATTTAGAACTAGCAGTCGTAGTGCTTGCTTTGAAACTTTGGCGTCATTACTTATATGGAGCCTCTTGCCAAGTTTTTACTGACCACAAGAGTTTGAAGTACTTGTTCACCCAGAAGGAATTAAATATGAGGCAGAGAAGATGGCTTGAATTATTGAAAGATTACGACATGCAGATTCAGTATCATCCAGTTAAAGCAAACTCAGTGGCTGATGCGTTGAGCATGAAGTTAGTTGGGAATTCAGCTTATTTGTCAATGATTTCTGTGAAGCCGACTATCATTGAGGAAGTGAAGACCAGGCAGATGGAAGACAGGTTCTTTAGGAAGGTGATTGATGAGATTGTCACTAAGCCAAGGTCAGGGTATACCGTTGAAAACCAGGAACTCAAGTTTGAAGGAAGATTGTGTGTAGCCGACGTCCCAGAGTTGAAAAAGAAGATTTTACAGGAAGCCCATGGTTCCAAGTTCGTCGTTCATCCAGGGAGCACCAAGATGTACCAAGACATGAAGCAGACCTTTTGGTGGCCAAACATAAAGAGGGAGGTAGCAGAGTTTATATCTTAGTGTCTGTATTGCCAGCAAGTGAAAGTAGAACATCAGAGACCAGCAGGACTTCTTCAACCTTTGCTAGTTCCTGAATGGAAATGGGAACATATCTCCATGAATTTTGTGGTTAGTTTGCCGAAGACATAGAAAGGTATGGACTCGATCTGGGTTATCATCGACAGATTAACTAAGTCAACACATTTCTTGCCTATTCAGACTACCTTCAATGCTGACCGACTTGCTGTACTGTATATGAATGAGATTGTTAGACTTCATGGAGTGCCGATGTCCATTGTATCAGACCGAGATCCGAAGTTTGTTTCTAGATTTTGGCAGAGTTTGCAAAGGGCCTTGGGAACCGAGTTGAGATTTAGCACAGCTTTTCATCCCCAAATCGATGGACAAACAGAGAGAACAATTCAGACGTTTGAAGATATGCTCAGACTATGTGTATTGGACTTCAAGGGAAGTTGGGAAGTGCATTTACCATTAGTAGAATTCGCTTACAACAACAGTTATCAAGCTAGCATTGGCATGGCGCCATACGAAGCTTTGTATGGGAGGAAGTGCAGATCACCGATATGTTGGACAGAAGTAGGGGATAAAGCTTTGATTGCCCCTGAGCTAGTTCAAGTTACAACCGAGAAGATTAAGCTCATTCGACAGAGGATCAAAACTGCTCAGAGTCGACAGAAGAGTTACGCCGACCAGAGGAGAAGGGAGTTAGAATTTGAAGTTGGGGATCATGTATTCCTGAAGGTTTCGCCGATGAAAGGAGTTTCAAGATTTGGAAAGAAAGGTAACTTAGCACCTCGTTACATCAGGCCGTTTGAAATTCTTGAGAGGGTTAACCCAGCTGCCTATAGACTTGCTTTGCCACCAGAACTAAGTCAAGTTCACAATGTGTTCCATATTTTGATGTTGAGGAAGTATATTCGGGATCCCCTGCATGTGATCGACCATTTCGAGATTGGGATTAACGAAGATTTAGGTTATGAGGAGAAGCCGATACGGAGTCTTGATAGGCAAGTGAAACAGTTGAGGAACAAGTCGATACCAATGGTACAGGTTGAATGGAAAGAACATTATGGTAAGGATGCCACATGGGAAATGGAAGAAGAAATGAAAACCCGACATCCATAGTTGTTTTTGGGGCAAGGTAACTTAAGTTTGGGGACCAAACTTCTTTAAGGAGGGTAGGATGTAACCACCCTCACTTTACTCTAGTCATGCTTGCATGTATTTACATGATCTTTGTAATAACCCTCACCACTGCTTACCGATAAACATTGATTACTGCTAAAATGAATTGATTATGACTGATAATTGAACTGATTAAAAATACTGAACTGACTGACTGAAATCTGGAACTGAATTGACTGAGTATGTATGTTAATCTGCATTCTGTCTATTTGATTGTTTATTTGATCTGTTCATGTTTTATGTTTAAACTGCTAATTGAAGGCCTTATCGGCGGCCGAACCGGGAATTGATTGATGTTTTATGATCCTCATAATTAATATGATTTTATGGTATATTTATCTGAAAACTGATTAGGTATGATTAAATTAGATTAAATGTTGGTAAATTGCATTGTTACACTTATTTATCATTTTGCCACGTGAGTGGACCACTACCTAGTCAATACTAGAGCCTTACATACTTGAATCAAAACACTTTCCTCAGCCATATCTCTTGTTCAACCGACCATAGAGAGTGTGAGAAGTATTGAGCTCTACCTTGTGAATTGCTTGGTAATTGAAGTGTAGATTGCTAAATTGAGCTCCTAGTCTTGCATTGGAGACCTAAGGTAGAGTAATTACCCTCCTGTTTATCTTGTTCTTGCATAATTCATGTCAAAATTGAGAATTGAGCCATGGATTAGTTCTAGCATGTTGAATAGCTTTATATGTTGAATTAGAACATAATTCATGCATGCATGTTAGTATTGTTGGATTTTGAGTTGAGTTCATGGCAAATTGTCACATGCATATCCATGTTTTAAGAGTAGTACATGTTTTCATCTTGTTTGTGAATCAATTGGCTCATTAGAGCATGTTTTGAAGCTTGAAAGTTATTTGAAGATCATGCATGTCATGTTTGAGGATTGTTCTTGAAAATGGTTTGAAATTGGGTTTGAATTAAACACCCTTGGGCCTTGATTTCTCAAATTGAGTTTTGAATCATGTTTAACTATGAGTTTATAAGAGTTTTCCAGAAAATGGGCCCAAGAGGACTGAATCTTATGCATCAAAACTTGGTTTTTGGCTTGGAGGTACAATCTGGGTTTTCCAGATTTTGCACTTCCGCTCGAGCGGGGAAAGTGGCGCTCGAGCTTGGAATCCGAGCATCCAGCATTTCTCTGCACTGTTTTACAGTCCACTCAAGCGGAGGATTGGGCGCTCGAGCGGGGTCATGTGTCTCAAGCTCGAGCAGGCGTCGAGCGGAGATTTCACCCATCCAGTGCTTTTACAGTACGCTCGAGCAGGGTATTGTACGCTCGAGCGGGTACCTTTGTTGCACGTCCGCTCGAGCGGGGGAAACCTGCGCTCGAGCGGGACTCTGTTTTCTGAAAAATCTGAAATGCTTTTAAAAGTACATCTTTGCATCCTCATCCCATCCTAGGCATTCTTAGGCCTAGTTTAAGGCATCTTGTTGAGGATTTAGATGTAGAACACACCGAGGAAAATTAGGGATTAAATTATTATCTTTCCCAACTGTGTAGCTTAGTGTGTTCAATCTGTTAACTGTGTAGGATTGGCTTTCTAAGGAGACGCTCTAGCAAACTGTAGCCCGAACTCTGTGAGTAACATCTGTGTAAAGATATGTTCAAAATGACTATCTTCTGAACAATTGAACTGTACTGCTTTCTGAACTGATTACTGTTAACTGATTGAATGTATGTCCTATATTCTGAACTGTACTGTGGCATCCTTAGCACCTACTGTTTACTGTTACTGTTACAGAGATCTCTATCGGTTCCCTTGTTGGAACCACTACTGTTACTGATTGATGGTCATCACTTACTGTTTGGTCTTTTAAGACCTACTGCTTACTGTACTGTTACGCTAATGGATGTACCACATATCACTGACTGACTGATTGACAGAATTACTGAATCAATGAACTGTTTTCATTACTGTAAGGACATTCATTCTTAACATCTTTACGCACTGTGTTATTCACTGGGCTTTAGCTCACTGCTCATATATATATGTAGGTGTACAGGCACCAGACCGCGGCTAGGAGCGTCAGGGTTACTCCAGTTTTGTCAAGCCAACTACTGTGCCTCACTGCGAGGTTCCGAGCCTACCATGCTAAGGCTTAGGGGTGTTTTAGGACTCCCCCTTCTGTATTGTCTTACTATTTTGTAATAACTGAATGGATTGTATAGACCGAATGTTTACTGTACTGTTTTTAAGGGATGGAGTCCCTAGTCTGAATGATTGTATATATTGTGCACACACTGTTCTGTACTGATTATGTATATATGTTTGGGAAGTCTTTTTGCATACAGACTGTCACAGCTCATTGGACATTGTTTAATTACTGTATTGGCTTCCGCCAGGCCCTGTACTCTGTTTTACTGTGCTACTGTTAAGCAGGCCTTCGGTAATCTCGGATTACTGGCCGGTTACGGTGCTAAACCCATAGGGCCGGGTTTGGGTCGTGACAATCTTGTCTTGTTAAGTTGCATTTACAAACCTTGATTTGTTTTGCATAAGTGTTGCTTGCATGTTTTGTTCCTTGCTTGGTGTGAGTTTAGCCGAGGTCATCTTAAGCCTAGGGTACACCTTTGAACTTCTTACACCTAGGACCATCTTGGAACCACCTTGGTTGACCTCCACCCTTACCCTGACATGTTAGCCGAGATGTCATTATCTAGGCCGAGGTGTTCATCACTAAGGCCGAGATGTATATTATCTAGGCCGAGATGTTATACCCAAGTGATCTTGTCCCTGGACTGGTACAACCTAGACCGAGGTGTGGCACATCTAGGCCGAGGTGTGGCACAGCTAGGCCAAGTGTTGTCCTTCCTAGCCAAGATCATTGAGACCTTACTTGCCGAAGCTTTGTCCTAGCCGAGATCATTACCCGCCGAAGTGCCCATGTCACCTTACTTGTTGCTTACACTTTGCCATAGCCTTGTCTTTTCACTCAGTCACCTTTTTGAGGTGATCCAATCAGCCGTTGCCATGTGTCCCAACAGAGGGTTAAGTCAGCCGGCAGAGTTAGAAATATATCATTTTGTGTCTTATCTCTTGCATGGTAGAGAGAGAAGCTCTAGGAAGATGAGAGGAAGTTGGAGTAAGAGAGCTAGATCCCAAGCTTGATCTTTAGAGTTTGAGCCGTTTAATCCGTGTTTTGAGGCCTTGGATCCTTGCTTGTAATTCCTACACCCGAAGAACTATGTGAGTGGTATTTTTAATAAAGTTATGTTATAAGTTTTGATAAAATTTTGCTTTGCTTTGTTTTGGAAAAAGTATTTGTTAAGCATGAATGAATACCCCTATTTTGTGTATCAAGTATTAGTCTTGTTTTGGATGACATTCTTGGAAAGTCCGTGCATGCTAAGGGACTCTAAACCTTTGTAGCACAAGTCCGTACGTGCTAGGGGACTCTAAACCTTTGTAGCACAAGTCCTTACGTGCTAGAGGACTCTAAGCTTTTGTAGCACCTTTGTTTAATGCCATCCCTTGTATTATATTGATGCTAGTAAGCATCCCTTGAAGATTCGAAAGACTTGATTGATGGAATTGGTTCATCCCTTGATTTTGTATAGTATGCTATGTATTTTTTAGAAAAGAGA